TTGTCCGGATTGTTTTAAATCGGACAAAGGTTAAACGATGTATTGTCCGGATTGTTTTAAATCGAACAAAGGTTAAACGACGTATTGTCCGAATTGTTTTAAACCAGTCAAGTATTGAGTGAGTTATTGTCCGGACTTGATATCCGGACAAAGTTGATTTTTGATTCCAAGTGTTAAATCGATCAAGTTGTATGCGGTATGTTGTCCGGACTTGTTATCCAGATAAAGGTTGATTTAATTCTAAGTGTTAACCGGACAAAGCTTATGCAATGTGTTATCCGGATTGTTGACTGGAGATAAAATCCTGCTAAGTTAAGTTGACCGGATTTGAGTTGTGCCTTGTGAAATTGTGATTTTATCATAAAATGAAGATTTGATATAAATGATTTTGCATTAATAAATAATAATTCCATTGGCTGCGGTCTGTTTGGAATTGTTTTATGAAAAGTTTTGATGAGGAAATAAGGGTGGCATATCAAGGAGAGGTGTATCATGGGATAAGGGTGGCATATCAAGGAGAGGTGTACCATGGGATAAGGGTGACATATCAAGAAGAGGTGTACATTTGGATATAAGGGTGACATTTGCATGTGTGTTGTATGATATAACTCTTTCTATTATATCCTTTAAGATTACCATGGTCTGGAATCTTTATTTCTTTGTGATTTAAATATTTAGGATCAAGGTTCTTATTGTAAATCATAGTCTTGATGTTATTGAGGAGAAAACATCAGGTTTGGCCTGAATCTTTATTTAAACCTTGTTTTGATTTGAGAAGGTTTAAAAATGACATTATATGGGACCTGATTAGTTCAGAGGTATGAGATTTGTGTAGCTGAATGCTTTGTTTGATAAATGGAAATGATTTGGGTTTATGTTCCAATTTGTTCATATATTTGTATATATATGAATAATTGTTTTTCTTAAAGATTTTGGTGCTTTACACCATGCAATAACATAAATAGGGTATCTCACTAGACCTTTCGGTCTAACCCTCGTTTTGTGATTTTAACTATATGTTGCAGGAGGTACGGACAGTAAGGGAAAGGGAAAAATTTAATATTTTCCTATATGCATTTCTGCTTGAAGATCTGTAGTGATGTACAGTTTTGATTGATTAGTACAAGAAATGTATTTGAATTTTTGGACCTTGTATTTGGTCATGTTAGATTCTTGTACTAAAGGACCTGAATGAGATAATATCATGTATGTCTTTTGTATGAAATATATGTTACATGCAATGTATGGTTTGGGGGGGTTACATATATATATATATATATATATATATATATGTAGAAGCTTAATCAAATGAGAACTAATTAGTTTGTGGTAACCGTGAGATCCAATCTCAACCACAAATCAATAGATAAATTAGGAAATTTATAATTTTGATAATTTTGAATTAAAATTTCAATTCAAGGATATTTTTGGTATTTTAAAACTCTCATCTCTCCTCTCTTCTCTCTCCGGCCACCATCCTCCGGTGATACCACAATGGTATCACAATACAACATATATGTGCTTGGGTATCACATTGAAGTCGTTTGTGTGGTCGATTGGAGATGTATCACAGTGGTATCACAATGCATCTTATATATGATTGGGTATCACATTGTATCTTTTCTTTAACAGAATCAATTTTTATAGGTATTATAGTGGTATCACCGGAGGACGGTGGCCGGAGGACGGATGACGGAGAGAGAAGAGAGGAGAGAAAATATCTAAAATGTCCTTGCATTAAAATTTTAATTTAAATTTACCAAAATTATAAATTTCCTAATTTATCTATTGATTTGTGGTTGAGATTGGATCTCACGATTACCACAAACTAATCAGCTCTTCCTTGAATTGACCCATATATATATATATATATATATATATATAGAGAGAGAGAGAGAGAGAGAGAGAGGAGCGATCAAATAAAAACCACTCCAATTTGTAAAAACCGTAAAAACTACTCTCATCCGTCGTTAATCTTATGAAATTTTTTCATGAAATTGTTAATCTTGTGAAATTGTTTCA